GGATGGAATTCGGGCGGATGCGGGGCAGGGGGAAGCGAACGATTCGAATTAATCCATCGAAAAGTGTCAAAGACGTTGTTGTTGTCCCCTCCGTTCCTCGATTTACGAAGATCGCGAGATCGAGCCTCGAAATCGAGCCTTCTCCATCCTCGCCCACCTCGCCATCCATCTTCCCTCCCGAGGAGGAAGAGAAGAAGAGAGACAGGAAACGCACACCTCTTTCTCCGATATTCCGTATGTGGCAACGTTCCTTGCACGATCCGATTGTAAAATTAAAATTTCGTCGCGACAATCCACTTAATTATCGATGTGTATCGTGAATGTAGATATGTATAGCATATGCGTGTGTGTATATAATGCCCCGCCCCCCGCGTAGGAATTTTTCGTATATCAAAGATATATATATATATATATATATATATATATCTTTAATACGAATCGTAGGGGAGTGTGGGTGACCGAGAAAGAGGACACCTCTGTCGCGTCTAGTTTCGCTCGATTTCACGTCGAAATTATTCTTCGATTCGTGGCTCGTGTATTTGAAATTTCCGATGCGCGAGTAATCGGATACGAAGTTTTCTTGGAAGAGAGAGAGTGAGTGAGAGAGTGAGAGAGTGAGAGAGAGAGAGAGAGAGAGAATCGTGCGTGCGTGTGTGTGTGAGTCAAGGAGGATGAAAAGCGATGAAAGGAAGAGAAAGAGAGGAGGAGAGATTTCTCTCGATCGAAATGATTTTTTGGGGAGGAACGGCGCGAAACTGATGATGCGATTTCCACGATATTTGTGTACGCGCGGAAGGCACGATTTCGCGGAGGGACGAGGATCTCGAAGCGAGATGAAGGGAGCGAGAAACGATGATCGTCATTGGAATCGAATAGAGAAGCATGTTTCTCCTATTATAAATATAGGCCCGTACGTCGCACACCGCGTTTAAAGGGCGGTTTACGGTTGTTTAATCGTGTAATCCACCACGTCTTTTTTTCCAATTTTATCGATTTAAGGAATAAGAAGAAGTGAGAATGGCGAACATTCGTACGTATTATTAAAATGACGAAGAAAAAAAAAAAAATCGTAGGAATTTTTCCAGTTTAAAAAATCGAATGGGATGGCGGGGGAGGAAAGGGAAGAAACACGGGGGAGGGGGATAGAGAGGGGAGAAGAGCGCGGAGAAGACTTTCGACTTTGATTATTTTGGACGATCGATTTTGGGATCGTCGGTGGGGATATTAGATGGTGGAAATATTAAAAGCGGGCAGGGGTGCGTAGGGGTTAATAACCCTGTGGCCAGTATCGGCCCAGCATTCGCAGCGTCCAAGTGTTATTGCGCATTTAACGTCACGCATCAGCAATAAACAAGTAACAAGTTGTTTATATACGAGGGAGGCATACGTATTTTGCAATAAAATGAAATTGAACAAACACCTAGTTAATAATAATTATTATTCGTGCCACTATCGAGAGGATACGGAAGAGTTGCTGTTGTCGTTAAATGGACGCGTTCTAATTAAAATATGTACAATAGAATTCCATTCAACCGAACTCCATTCAACGGAACGAAATTTTCGTAATTAAGCGAACTCTACCCGAGAGTTTTCTATTATCTGGATTAGTTGTAAGCATCGTTCGAATCATACGTCTCTGCTACAAATGAAAATATAAATACAACGACGTAAATAGAAGGATGAGTTCATGTTGACTCGAGGAACGCGTTGCGATTAAATTCACGTACGGTCAATTATAAAGATCTGATATCCATCTTGAGAATTTTTATTTCACCATACAAATGCGTAAAGCTTAGGGGTTATATGTGGAACGATTGATTTTTCGACGAAGAATCGACATTTTTATCATTTTTCATGCAATTTCGATTGAAAAATAATTTTTCTTTTAAAAACAAGTATGTTAAAAGGACAAACTTGAAACTCAAAGTGATATTATACGCTATTAGAAAATTTCTCTGTGTATAATCCATTGCGATCCACCATTATATCTCATAATCTAAGCCTGAATTCTGTAATTTATTTGAAAATCACAACGAGTGAAGGAATTCAGTGAACAATTACACGAACTCCATGTGAATGGAATTCTACCATACAAAAATACGATATATACCATTGAAATCCCACATTTATTCGCATTGTTAAACGTGCGACGAGGTTAAAAAATTCGCATGGTTTAGGACGAAAAGAAGAGGAGCACGTTTGTTTGGCAAGGATAAATTTCGATATATGAAATATTCAATTACTCCCGTTTAAAGATAAACACCCAGTTTTATTTGTTTATTAACGCCGCCAACACGAAGGAGAGACCTGCGCCGTTTCAATTATTACGCAGCATTACGCAATGTTTGTGCGCCAATTCGCGATCGTTTTATAATTTACTTGCTCGTCGAGATATCGAATCTATTCTCGAAATCGATCAAACTTAATGGCTTAAAAATCTGTCATCTCCTCTTTTTTCAACCGCAGTAACACTTTGCATAAATTGGATTAACTTTTAAAAAGATATTTGAAGTCGTACATTTTTATTTGGAGATATAATTTTTTGAAATTTGGCGAGATTGAGGAGCCGAATTTGATCTTTTGCACTCCATTCTTTTTCCCTTTGAGGAGACATCGTGGAAAACTTGGATATTAAGGAAACACAACGAGATACTTGTGATTATATCGTGCAAAGGATTAAAAATTGAACAAAACGATACTTGTGAAAAAGAAAAGGACACAGAAATAGACATTCAAAATTTGGAGAGTTTCGAGTTAGAAAAAATAGTTCTCGAATATTTCAATAACTTTCCTTTCTTCTTGATTAATTTTTTCGAAATTGAAGTTGCACGCAAACCACTTTTTCACGAACGCGTGGCCGAAACATGGGCACACTTTCTCCACCGACAGAGATCCATCGAAACGAATCAAAGAGGAACATTGCTCGTAAATCGAAAAAGCGGCCCCACCCACGGCGTCGGGACAAAATTTCGGGAAACAATTTCCCCTGGTACTTTTCCACCGTTGCATTCAATCTGCCCTTTCTATTTCGCAGATTAAAGATCATCCTCGTCGTTTGGAGGAATAAAAAAAATTACTCTCGAATTTCTGTGTGAAGGTAACGGTTCGAAATCCGGCTATTTTCGGTCCGGGATTAGGAGTTAAGAGCCATGATACGTTTCACGCGGCCAACACACGCTCGCCATACCGTACACTGCTTTGCGAACGATCTTGTACAAATTGCGGGACGAAATTTCTGTTCAGAAGTGGACAGCTCCGTATTTTGGAAAAGAATGAATCGAAACGTGGTATTAAATAAGAGAAATTTCATTCGAACGTTTCTATCGAACTCTTTTCAAACTAGAACTCTTTTCGTTTATGCGAAATTTTAATAACGTTCGATTGTTAGCTGATCGAGCTTACATCACATTATTAAATATATATATAATTTATCAAGTGACAATTATACCTGTGTCATAGCTTTTCACTCGATTCTCAAGTAATAAATATTTATTCCTTACGTCGACGAGATATAAGATCGATAAATTAACGACAATTCTACTTTTCTTTTAGAGCCCGTTCATTCCTCCTGAGCCTGTTCGTTGAACACTCTCGATATCGAATTTCATTCGAATAAAAATAATTCGTCGAAATTCTGTTCGAATTACGCGAACAGCTTTGTTGATTAAAATTTAAAACGAATTAAAACGGACTTTAATTATCCCCCTCCGACAACTTCGTAAATAAAATTTTTTTTTTCCAGTCCGAAAAAACGATTTTCCGCGTAACATTGGCTCGATGACCAGTGGCGTCTAATTTACGAATCAACCTCTTCGCAGCCGGCCCCCGCCGCTGTACATATGTGACACGCGTGCACACGCAACGCGCTACAACGCGATAAATCAATAAAGCGTGCACACATACGTCGTGATGCACACGTGCGCCTGTGGCTTTCTCCTGCATGCCGCGTCATCTCTCTGTCTCTTTCAAGCTCGACGCATTGCACGAGTCTAACTAGGGCAAAGTGTCGAGAGGGAACGGACAAACGAGACGTATTCCTCCAGTGTATCAATAAGAGGCGATAAGATTGAGTAACTGGATGGATTATTAGAGTATGGATCGATGAAGAACGAGATACGGTTTGATAGATTTTTTTCTCGATTTTTGTTCAGACAAAAGGGATTGAAAAAGTATTTGATGTATAATTTTTCGAACGCATTACGACTGATCAACGTGGAAGAATAGCAGGGAGGGGATTTTTTACAGTCGATTTATAGAAAATTGATTTCAAATGTTTCGAGAAACGTGACAAGCATTGGTTACTTTTTTTATCGAGAACGGGTGTCGGGTTTCGAAAGTTCTCGACAGTATTTTATCAAACGGAGATTGTCCGAGTAACAGTAAGTTTTATCTTCGCGAAGCCGATGTCCGAGAATTCTCGAGAATTTTACTTCACCGTTTCGTCTCGAGAGTGTTCTTTCTCAAGTGGACGATACCGGAATTGACGATGATTGTTGCTCGAGAGATAACTTTTATCTTCAAAGTGATCTTCTCGAGAGATTAAACTTCGCGTAAGGATCCGGTGAGAATAATTTGAGAGTTGCTCTCGAGACCGAAGAAACTGAAGAATAAGCTTTATATATCGATCCGATTTTCCATATTTTCACTTCGAAAATGTAACATCAGAAATTAAAATACCGGAGAAAAATGGACGGATTTCGC